AAAAACTTTAATTTCTCCTTGTCGATTCTGAACCACCGTTTCAATAGAACAATGCAGTTTTAGGCGATGAACATTTTGACCCCATTTTGAAGTCGAAAAGCGTACATTGTCAAGAGGTTTATGCATCAAACATCATTAAAACGTCAACATCATTTTTACATTTTTATTACTTATACTTGCAACAATTTATGCTGTTAATTTAACACTGCCAACGATGTTGCATTCGTTCAGTCGTTTCTTTGAAATTATAATGCAAAAGGTCAGAGTTTGAGTGGCTGTCTGGAACGGAAAACGGGGTCTTTTTTGTGATCCGTGACCGGTGTGAGCTACTGGAGTATCTCACCTCTCTCATTTTCAGAGGCGCGGGGCCGGAGGGGGGCGGGGCTGGGCGTGGTCTGGCGGGACGTGGGCGTGGTTTTCAGCCGGGACGGTCCGTTTTCGCTGCATCCCACTCTCGCTGTTGCACTAATGAGACGGCGTGATTAATCCTTGCGGTGCGGTACATGAATCCAGACGCGAGGCGGCTGTCGGCTTTGCCTCATAAAACCCTGGAATGCTGTTCTTTCATGTGCACTGCTGATCTTCTCCTCTGACAACAATATGCCGGGACTTCCCTTGCCCCTGTCATGCCTGCCCTCAGCAGGAGCCAGTCGAAGGTCACCCTAAGCACACTGAGTCTTTTATGGGTGGTCAGGTAACATGCTGATAGGTCATGATAGGAACCTTTTTTACGGAAGGATGTTAACTTGAGCCTCATTTGGGATTAATCTACGTACGGGTGCGGTATAAATCACTTTTATTTTGCTGTCCTGCCTAAACATCTTTTGGGTTTTCAAGGCTGAAAACATCTACTCTTCTTCAGCTCATTTTTGTACCCATGAGCCATTAGCTGAAAAAATTAATTGTCAATTGGCTGTGAACAAATTCGTGTGTCAGTCGAGAGAATCCCCAATTGTACGACAATAACATTTTCAAAACCGACGTATATATGTATGTGTGTGTGTATGTTTGTGTGTGTGTGTGTGTGTATGTTTGTGTGTGTGTGTGTGTGTGTGTGTGTACATATATAGCTGTCATGTGTGTTATAGGCTACTACAGACATCCTTATCCTGCCGCTGTCTATAAAATGGTTGAAAGGACGCTTTCAGTTGTCAGTTGTATTTTCACTGCAGTAAAAGTTAATAAACACTAGTTTAAACATCATATAACAGCGGCCTCTATAAAACGGTTAGGTTAAGACATTTTCCTGTGAAGCGACGCTCACTTAGACCCTATCCGCTGAGTAACCGCAACAAGTTAAAATTTTAAGGCTTTTCAAGTGACCTTAAAGGCGGAGGCAGAGCAGCGTCGTGCGCGTTTGCCCCTGCAATCACCCCGCCAGTTTTGGTAGCTTTGGGTGTTTAAGGGGGGAGTGCAGTAGCGCGCCGTAAAACATCGCTGCTTGGGGCGCAATGAAATTTTACTGTCGCATCTCGTGCCTGTTTAGGAGCGCGAAGTGACATCTCGCCGAAGGCCGGTCTCTATGCTGCTCCCCGGCTTTGTTTGCGCCTGTGAAATTAATAGTCTAATCCCGTTTTTAAATGCCACCGCTTTACCGTTTAGTTGCGACCTGATGTGAAGCCATTTGAGGATTTTCTCTTATAATCAAAAATCTCAATTACACGATTATATTATATGAAACGCTGGCTTACTTTCTTTTTTTTGTAAGTTTCAATTTTGTCCCCTTATCCTAAAATATATTAGAAATAACTCGAAAGATTATTTTAAATGCAAAACAAGTGCAGTGATTTTTGCGGTTTCCTAAAATATTTCACTTATGCTTCTGCAAAAATTTTACTTTATGTGTCATGCACGACGGTTTAATATTTCTTAACGGCATTTTTCGATAACTAGAAATTCGTAATTTTATAAAAGTAACCCTTTCCAATATCCCTTTCCAGTATCTCATGTTATCAATAATAATAGACGCTAGTGCGCTATTTCCCGTCTTTTCTCAATTACTTTTGGTATAAAACCACAGACACGGATTTCCGGTCTTTCGGGCGTTGAATGCACATTATTTGTTGTATCTGTTGATTCTCATTACCGTTCGCGTTGGGCCGAAACCGAATAGATCCCAAAATTGACCTTGAATATTAAATTGATTCGATCGATCACCTTGCACTGTGTTGTAAATACTCTCCTCATATACTTGTTGGTTTGGAATCAGATATTGCACGCCTCTCTGTAATATTTGGGGCCCTGACTGGCGGCTTTGCTATGCCTGCTCACTGGTCTTGTTATTACATATGCAACTTTCCTTTGGATGAGGTCTCAGCTCCCTGCTCAGAGTGGACGGATCTAGAACACCCTACCCCCTGAGTAGCTGAATAAATGGGGAGGCTGAAGTTTGTAAGTGTCATCTGTTCCAATGATGTTTCCTGAAGCAGCTACAGTTCCTTTATCATGTTGTTATTTATATTTGCCGTTTTTTTTTTACTGTAATGTACTAAAATCGTTTAACACACTGAAAATATGTATGCATTCCTGCCAGCGATAAAAGCTTTCTGAACAGAAGGTTTTACCCGTTAAGTTGTTTGCTTTTTTGAACATGATAATTTAACTCAAGCCTCCCTAGATTCCACTCCAAAGTACTCTGGGACGCCTGCTTATGAATGGGCGCTGCGGTAATACCGGGCTGCACAAAATCAGTCTCCCGCGTCTGGGGGCGTCGTGTCGCTGCCTGAGCCGGGTTTCCTTATCTGATGTGAAAGGTCTCATTCCGGGGTGCAGTCAAGCTGTCCTGTCACTTTCACCAAAGCCTCTGAGATTTAAAGAAAGAACATTAGACCGTTCCTGGCGGATTCACCCCAACCAGTCTAAAAGCAAAGTATTGATTTCGAGTTATCCTGTTTTTTTTTTTTAAACCCCCATTCTCTTACTAGTGTCAAGGCCCCACCCAATAGAAATGTCATAACCACCCCCCCCCACCCCCCCCCCACACACACACATGCAAAGGGTTTATGGGATATTTGTTAATGGGTGGGGAAGAGGGTTAAGGAAAAAAAACAATTTCTGGAAAACAGTGTAGCCTTGCATCATGGCCTTTCCTTCAGGGACAGAAAATTGCTCAGACAATAGGGTCCTGGCGAGTCCGAGAGGAGCGGCCCCCAGCCCAATGCCGTGTGGCCTTTCGCCCTGCCCCCCCAGCTGCCACATGACCAGACGTTTATTTCCTCTTAACACCAGCAGACAATCTTGCTGCATCTGTGCGCTGTCATCCAGATTTTCACTGTCTTTCCTAGGCCAGTTTCCCTCAGATTCCTCCTCAGCCCCGCAGCTCGCTCAGCACACGCACAGCTCGCTCCGCACATGCACAGCTCGCTCAGCACATGCACAGCTCGCTCAGCCCCGCAGCTCGCTCCGCACACGCACAGCTCGCTCAGCACACGCACAGCTCGCTCCGCACATGCACAGCTAGCTCAGCCCCACAGCTCGCTCAGCACACGCACAGCTAGCTCAGCCCCGCAGCTCGCTCCGCACATGCACAGCTCGCTCAGCACACGCACACTCGCTCCGCAACGTGCACAAACCATGTGGAACGAATCTTCTGCGCTGTCTCGCCAGTCCGGCTTTGATCTCCTGATTTTTCGGTCTGTTAGGATGTAAGTGTGGGTTGTGTGAGGTTTACACACCCCGCAGAAGCAGATTGTAGCTTGTTCCGTATTGGAAAACTCTCTGCTGGACACGGCATTGTCTTCGCAGATTGGGGGAGACTGATAAAGCAATTTAGAAGGAGAGCAGGAGGATGCAGGAGCCAAAAAAGTAATTTCTCAACTGTTTAAGGTTCCTCCTTGCTTCTTTCCCCCTCCTTTGCTCAGGTATGAGAAGGGGGGGGGGGGTATAAAGACTGGCTGGAGGCTCTTGGATTTTCAGTGTGAGACCCTGAGGAAGGGCCTGCCTGTTGCATTCATGAACAACGCTGGTATGAAAAGGGTATAACAGTCACTCTGGATGAAAATGAATGGTAAAGGAACTAGACAGAATACACCCCTTATACTCCCGCCACCCGACAGTCACTGATGAGGTGAGGACTCCACAGGCTGGTGTTCTCAGCGGTGGGCGGAGCTTAGGCGCCACAGCGCAACATGGTGTCCAGTTACTAAACTGAGGTAGATCAGAAACAACTGGATTGTCACTGCTCTTTGATCCATTAACAGTAAGCCTGTTCTCTAATTGATCTATAATTTTTGCCAAGGTTTTTATATTATAATAACTACTACAAAGCAGATGTCTCTCCTATTTATTCATTTATTTCTCAATATAAACAACAATTATGTTTCACTTAAGAACTTAAAACTTATAACTTGCAAGAGCATGAAAATCTAAGGCCCGTCCCGGGACTTAAGGCCGGCCGCATTTTTTTTCGTAAGGCAACTTCCTTAACTGCTGCGCCGCTTAGTACAATATGTATATAGGCACGTGAAGAAACGACTCAATGACGGGAGACAAGACAGATGACTGTAATAGTAATATCGAATTTTACACGGCGAGGCCCCTCTCTGAACACAACGTGGGGCGTTTCCAAGTCACCGGGAAGCATGCAACAGTTAAGTGAATAAATATCTCTTTCGTAGCACCTGTCACGTAAACTGTAAGTCTCAGATATTTTTCAAACGTTTCTTTCAAACGGCTTCAATGACTCACTGCGCCTATTGCTTAGACTGTATTGTCGCTATTATACAGTAGGCGATATACACGTGACGCAAGAAAGAGAAATTATATATTTAAACGGTGGCTGGAAAAACGCAAAACTACGTGCCTCATCTCCCTAGAAAGTGCAGGACATTAACGTAATTTGTGTAGATGTCTTACATAAAATCCGTTTATTTGCAAATTTTACAAAGATATTTTAGACAATATAATTCTATATTAGGCATATAAAATGTATTAAAGATATTAAACACTGTTGTAATCGTGCCGAGATAAATGCTAAACAGTTCATGTTCAAACATGCAGTATGAAATATAGTTTTAATTTGAAGATTTTTCTCTATTTCACCCTCTTTATCTCTGAATATCACGCAGCAAAATGACAGAGACCCCCGTTTTACTTAGCTCAGAATTGATATTTGGTATTATCCCGTTACTTATTCACGCTAAGAACGATACTATTCAAAACTCGCATACAATTAAAACAATTTATATACTTTTCCTTTTTATGACATATCAACCGTATAATACGTGGTGCTTAAAGCATTTAACGCGTGGTTTTACTATATTGTTTTCGAACTTGACACTTTTTTTCGATATGTGAAAAGGGACAACCCACAACTATACATTTATAAACTTGCTAGTTCGTGGAAAACAGGTGACCTGCTTCTTTCTGCAGGGGCTACAATGCCGGCGTCCATCGCGTTCCTTGACTCATAGTGGCAGCCCTGGGCATTTTGTTGTCTTGTCCTGACCCGACACATTAAAAATGATGCATGCAGTAGCTCTGTATCACCGGCGTGCGTGTATATTAGCAGTTTTAATAATGTTGTGTCTCCTAGCAGAGCTGTCTCTTCTTGCTATATCACCGGCTCCATCAGACGGAAAAATAATTGGCAGTTTTCCGTCCGCTTGGAGAGCGGCGCTCCGAGGGGATTTAAATCCGCGGGTCTCCTCTCGTACAACTAGCAGGTTATCCGGATAAGAGCACCGAATCACATAGGTTATTAACAATAAAACTGGTTGGTGATTACTTCAAGTTCAGTCAGGTATAGTTGGCCTATTGAATTCTAATGCGTTCAAGTCTTGATCAATACAGATATGCTACAAGATTTTTTCAAAACGGCATTTTAACACAATTCCACAATTATGATTACTGTGGTGGATATCGCACGCACGCACACACACACACACACGCACACACACAATTTTAATTCCAATTGCACGCGGACCTTAGTATAATGCCTTGCCTGGTTTTTATGTTACACAAGTCTTAAATAAATGTTCTTTTTATTAATACTAAATTGCATGTATGAACCCGTCTCTTTCCTTATTTTTTTTGTGAATTTGAAAGAACAGATGCGTGCATCACTCCGTTTGGATATTGCGCTGCACAGTCAAATAAGGGCCGATGGAAAACTTCAACAAAACAGCACTTAAGACACCTTTTGTGAGGTAAGAAAAGTGAAAGCCCGCAGGCGACAGGTTTTCAAAGCGAATTACTCACGCTTTCATCATATTCAATCAGCTCGTGTCTTTGCCGTAAATAAAGCAGCCGTCCGTGAGTTATCTTTAGTTTAAAAATGCAAAATTAATTGTCAGTAAATTATACAAAATAATCTCATTGGCATTATCCATGTAGATTTTTTTCTGGTAAATTAGAGGTAAATTTGTATGACCTATTTAATACCGTTTTCTCTGTTGTTGCAATTTTATTCTCGAGTAAATGTGTTTATTTTAGTTGTAGATGTGGCTAATTTAATTAAAATGAGCGCTTCAGGCGTATTTTTCTGTTATAGTTGTCAGCAACTTTTTTTTTTTTTAACTCGGATAAGACAAAGAGGAGCTTGCTGAATAACTGAGCACATTCCTCGGTTAATTAGCGAGCCAAGCGGGGCAACCTCGGCGCCCGGCGCACGTGTCTAAGATAAAGACCCAGTAACGGGCCGCTAATGGGAAACCAGTTTGCCGCTAATGCGGTGGAGACTCGCTACTGAAACCAACGCGGATGGTGCAAATAGACACCATTTCAGCGGCGACCGCTTGCCTCGAAATGTTTAAAAATTAGACACGGTCTCATCGCGAATTCGCCCGTGAAAGTGCGGCGGCCGAAATTAGCACTAATGCTGACACGCTGAGTGTTTAATTCGGGTCTGCTTAATATTCTGTCATACTCAGTTTTCTCGAAAAATTATATTGTAAATAGTTATTATTAATAGTTTTGTATGTGTGTTTAAATTATTTGAATGTAGGCCTATTACTATTATTTGCTATGTAAATTACATGTTTGTTTTTTTATCTGATATAAAAAGAATAGATCATTTTTAAGCATTCCTAAAAACAAATTTTAAATGTTAGTCTGTTCAACAGAGGAACTTGTTAACATCCAATTAAATTATTGTCGACACGTTCAGCCAATAGGCACAGAAAGCTGAAGAGGTAATGCCATGGATACCGAAAAGCCCCTCCCCCGAAGTTCGCAGCACATTGGGAGTGTGAATAAGATGATCGTATATAAGGGCACCGAAACATTTTTATCACTTGCAGAGAGCAGCAGCCCTGGAAACCGGGAGGTGTGGCTGAGAGGATCAGCCTTCGGCCGCATCAAGGACGCTCACACACGGCGGAGAGATACCCAGACTAGCGGCATCCTTCTCGTCTTCGTAGTTTTCTGGAAGTTTTCTAACTGCGGCATCTGATTTTTTAAAAAAAATATTTTTTAATCAAACTATGCAGTTAGGAGAGCCAGTTTTACCCAGCTCCGCTATCAATTTACCCAAGCCGTTTTACAATCTGTCATCAGAAAGTAATAATAACAACAACAGCAGCAGTAGTCCGGGATCGGACCCTTTAGAATTTCAGGAGATTTCTCGGACAGAATCTCATCCCGGGAACGGTCCCAAAAAGTACTTAAGCAGCGGGGTTAACGACATGCTGAACGAAGGAGAAAGTGACACGTTCACTGGGACTAAAACCGCTCCGGACGGAAGAAAAAGCTCTGCGGTCATCGGTGAAGATGACCTGTCCAACGGGCGCCGTTACAATATAGATGAACTTGGTTCTGACAGGTATTTCCTCTCCTCCTCTCAGACGGCCTCTGATGTGGCGAATCCGTGTTCTCTCTTCCCTTACGCTGCTCAGACTGGAACAGTTTATCCAGGGTCAAATGGATCCCGGTACTCCACATCGCTCCACTATGGATCTGTGCTGCCACCGACGGGCTTCTCCTCTGCCGTTTGCGCCTCGCGAAGCCAGTTCGGCGCCGGATACCAGTTCGGGCAAGGTCCCGGTTGTCTTTATCCCTCTTACCCGGGTACAAGTTCGGGGATCGCATCAGTGCCTATTCCGGCGGCTGGAGCCGGAACTCGAGCGCAAGTCTACCTCTGCAATCGGCCGTTGTGGCTCAAGTTTCACCGGCATCAGACCGAGATGATCATCACCAAGCAGGGCAGGTACGCGAACCACATTGTTTTTTTTCTGCTGCGGAACTAGATAAACAATGCGTTTTTGCATTTGCATGTGCGCATTGCAAGACGAAAATCTGTATAAATTTGTTAAATGAGACGTGTTAGTTTATTAGTGTACAATTAGTTCTCTTGCTACATATACATAATCACATCCAATAATTTGATAAACCGACATGCCATAAAAATAAAATTTAAAAATTAGGTTGCTTTGCCTCCTAAATATGAATAAGTGCATCCTAAAGCTGAATATGGGAACGCAATTTCATGACAATTAATCGGCACATATTTTTAAATAGCATATTTCTAGGACACGTACAAGTGCAAATACAGGGTGTACACTGTATGAAGTATTTTAATTATACATATGAACCATTTTCATGATTGTATTTAAGTGTAAAATTCCCACAATGCCGCAGTGCCACTCAATTATTTTAAGCTCCTTGTTGCGTAAGAAATCCCAGGCGGTGTTTGACTAAACTGGCGTGTTTGTTGCCGTCGACAGACGCATGTTCCCGTTTCTGAGCTTCAACATCACCGGACTGAACCCTTCTGCACATTACAACGTGTTTGTGGAGGTCGTGCTGGCCGACCCGAACCACTGGCGCTTCCAGGGCGGCAAATGGGTGACGTGTGGAAAGGCCGATAACAACATGCAAGGTACGAATGCGCAAATGTATCAGAAAGACTGCTCCAGATTAATGGTTTATAAGCTTGTTATTAATTAGTTTGTAACACTTTGTAAATTATTAATAGACTATTTTAAACAAGTTATAATAGTTTTATTTTATTGATGAGTTACTACCATTTACAAGTGGCAAAAAGGAGCCTTATTGTAAAATGGTACCTCAGAAAGATATATAATAAACTTGCACGAGACGCAAGAAATTACTGGTCATCGTAAGTTGCCGTCCCGTGAACTGAGAGTACTGTTGGAAATAGACAAAGATGGTGAACGTGGGACATTCGGACTGGTCGATTTTGAATGTTGCGTTTTCTTTTTGTGCCCTGATGACAACTATAAAAAATCAGTTTCGCCTGCCTAGTGATGAAATCGAAATAGCTAGCAAAGAAATTCTAATGAAAATGCTACAGATAATACACAGTTATTGGTCTATGCAGATATTTCGTGGTCATGTTTATTTGGAAAACGGTAGCTTATAATTAATGAGTCTGCGGTGTCCATGTAAAACCTGCAACAACAAAAAAGAACCAAAGTAATAATTAAAACGGGCGAGTTTCCCGAAGCCTTCTTAGTTCTACGTCATTCGTAAGTTCTGTCTTTTAACGCAACCACGAATAGGAAATCGTGCAAACTATGTCAGATTGAATTATGTAATTTTCAAAGATACTTTATCGTTGGCAACATCATTATGCTTTGATAATCCACGTTTTTATAATTCAATTTATGTTTTGCAAGCATCCTATACGATTCTTCTTGGTATAGTAATAACATTTAAAATTTAAGTAGCGTTTTTTTGTAGGTAATTTAATTATAGGGAAATAATACATTTATATTTTAACTGAAAATCTACCATCTCGAGTAATTTCCGCCTCGTAATTTATCGTAAATTTAGCATCGTTTAAATTAGACTAATTGAAATTGTCAAAGACATTTAAAACGATTCCGTCAGCTGTAAACGAAAATAGTGTAGGTTTTATTTTCGATCTGCTCGATGAAAATACAGACATAATAATGCGACTGTTTAAACACGAGTTTCAGAATTGTCTCATTTGTGGTAGACTAATTGTTTGGTTGATTAACTTTTGCTTTCAGCATATTTTCCTGATATTTTCATAAATGGAAAATATCCTGCCGCAACTTATGATAAAATAAAAATAGACACCTTTTCCCCCTCCTAAAGGTAATAAAATGTACGTCCACCCGGAATCCCCAAACACCGGAGCGCACTGGATGCGGCAAGAAATCTCATTCGGCAAACTGAAACTGACTAACAACAAAGGCGCAAATAACAACAACACGCAGGTGAGAAAAGCAGTAGCGCTCGGAAAGCCTCAAACTGTCACACCGTCATCTCCCGTAGTGCTCGACATTGACGCATTGTGTGTTTGATTTCGTTGCAGATGATCGTCCTCCAGTCTCTACATAAATATCAGCCCAGACTGCACATTGTCGAGGTCAGCGAGGACGGGGTGGAGGACATAAACAACGAGGCAAAAACCCAGACTTTCACCTTCCCGGAAAACCAGTTCATCGCTGTCACAGCCTATCAGAACACTGATGTAAGAGGACAGGACACATGTACTTTTCAAAAGATAACACGTTCAGCATTTAGATGCTTGTCTATGATGACTTCTGGCATGTGGTTGTCTAAGCATTTTTTTTTTTCATAATTTTGCAGATCACACAGCTGAAAATTGATCACAACCCTTTTGCTAAAGGCTTCAGAGACAATTATGACTCGTAAGTACATTTTGTTGTGTTTAATACGCACATGCGTGAGGGTGTCACACAGACATACAGCTGGGTGATATTGCAGGCCTACATACAGCTGGGTGATATTGCAGGCCTTGTTGTCAGTGAGCCATGCCTGGTCCTCTCCTCAGGATGTACACAGCTCCAGAGACCGATAGGCTAACCCCGTCACCCACCGATTCGCCACGCTCCCACCAGATTGTACCGGGGGCCCGGTATGCCATGCAACCCTTCTTCCAAGACCAGTTTGTCAACAACCTGCCCCAGAACCGCTTCTATAATGGTGAGCGGGCTGTGCCACAGACCAACGGCCTCCTGTCGCCACAGGCCGAGGACGGAGCAGCGGCCGCCACACAGCGCTGGTTCGTGGGCCCTGTCCAGCAGGGCGGCGCCGGTAAGCTGGACCTCCCGTACGAGGGGGACTATTCAGCGGGAGGCCTGCTGCCATACGGCATCAAACCGCTGCCGCTCCAGACCTCTCACGCCCTCGGCTATTACCCGGATCCCACGTTTGCCTCCATGGCTGCTGGTTGGGGCTCCAGGGGCCCTTACCAGCGCAAGGTGGCCACCAGCCTGCCCTGGTCCCCCCGGCCCAGCCCCCCCAGCTTCCCCGAAGACCCACTCTCTGGCAAGGACAAGGCCCGGGAGGAGAGTAGCAGCAGTGGCAGCGGCACCTCCCCGTGGCTGGACACCCCCCACTCCCTGAAATCCCTGGACTCTGTGGACTCGGGCGTCTACTCCATGGTGTGTAAGCGGAGGAGGATGTCGCCCAGCAATTCGAGCACAGAGAACTCGCCGACGATCAAATGCGAGGACCTGACCTCCGATGAGTATAACAAGGACAACCCCAAAGGTGTGGGTTACTACGCCTTCTACACCAGCTCTTAAACCGCCCCTTTTACAAACCTGCTCACTCCCGTTGTATTTCTGTTCTAAATGCCGCCTTTTAAAGATGTACTCGACTTTTTTTTTTTTTTTTTGTATTGTGCCAAAGCTTTTACTGCTCGGAGCAAGTTGCGGAAATTAACCCCCCCCCCTCCCCGCCAGGTGTGAACAAATGACTAAGGGTTTTGTTTTGCTTTTTAATTTTTTTTTTCTTAAAGCATGCCACCATTTTTTTGTTTGTTTTTTTGTACAAACTGTCATTTATTTATTAAAGATTCTTTGCTGTACAGTACTTGTCCACTATAGAATGTGAAGTATCTTGTACAAAAATGTGTACATGGAAGTGTTATAAATTAGTAAAAATAATAAAAAAAAAATCCTCCCCACGCTTTTCAAAAAGAGCCTTTTGCTGCTTAATATTTCTATACGGTACTTAAATACGCATATTTATTAATGGGCGTGATTGCCGTCATGGAAACTGCGAAGTAATACGTTTTAAATCGTATTTTCGTTTGCCTAGAATATTCGATTGCTGCAGTATTCGATATCTGTAAATCTTTGGACGCGGTTGTGAAAAATATAAATCGGAGGTAATCAATAGCCCGAAGTCCACTATGTTATACGCCGCTGATGAAGGGCACAAATCGGCACAAGCGGGGATAAATTTCCTAAATTAGTCCAAGAAGGAATATATACCTCCAGTAATATTTTAGCGACAATTGGTATATTATTTGAGTGTAGACAGCATTTGGTAAGTAAAATGTACGCTGATTCCAAATGATTCTTATTGCATTTATTAGAATTTACGTGGTATAATTTTGGGGCAAATATCGGATATTTGACCTGAATTACGGCAATATATCCGCCGTTGGGTTGTCCAGATAAAATCCGGAAAGACGTTTTTTGAAGTATTTTTTTTAGCATTTTTATTCTGGTGCAAGCAATTACCAGACCATCTAGAATATGGCAGTATGCAAATAGGCGAAATTCTCACATGAAATGTCTCGAAAACCTCTCAAAACGAGTTTTAAACATGAATTCACGTGAAAATCGGAATGACACTTTCTAATTAAAACGTTATGGACTTAGATTTTGCGGATGGTCGTATCATCACCTACATCTGACCTTAATTAAGCAAACGAAGAAAAGTAGCACGACTGTCTTCTAGTTTAATTTTTTTTTTTTTTACAAAGGAAATTTGCATCATCACGCAATCATTGGCTCTGCTGCTAATTAAACCTTTTGTGTTGCGCCTAAATGTTGTCAAAACACTCCCGTATATAGACTGGATTACACTAAGCTCGTTTTTCTTGTTAGAATGTGAAGTAAAATTACGGGTTTAATTAAGATTTGAAACAAACTAAAATGATGCATTTAATGTCACGTTTATGTAGATTAAATAAAAGTAGAATACAAGACAGCAAGTAGCCTACTTGTTTTTAATACAACATTCAAAATTAGTTATAAAAGTAAAAAACAACTGGAAACACAGTTACATTTGCTGTTGTGTGTAAATCTGTAAGTATAACGTTGGAAATATTTTCAGGAAAAGTGAGTGTAGCCAATCTTATTTGAGATATTTATTTTGCTTGACGAACGCATTGAACTAATTTTTTTTTTAAGTTGGGTAGCGGGTTTTAAGGAAGATTCCGATAATCGCTCGTGGTAAACTTCTGTCTTACGTGAAAGCCCCCCCCCCAGGTGCATTTAAAAACAAGTTTGCTTGTGCATCACTATGCTCGCTGCTGGCAGGACGTGTTGAGGGCGGTCAGCGGCGGAAGGTGAATAAAGCGGAGCGAGCGGCGCTTGCGCGCGGGGGCCAGTAGTCACAGTCGAAACTTCGGTAATTTTCTTCACTGCAGCGTCTCTCAGCCTGAGACCAGCAAACCACTCGTAAAAACCAGCCGCTGCGAAAACAAACATGCAAAAGCAGGCTATAAAAGTAAAAAAAAAAAAAAAAAAAACGCTGCGCCGAGCATTTTTAATTACACAACTAACCAACATTTTATCCGTTTGTAGTGCTTGCATTGTGCATTTTAACATTTATTTACTGATTTATTTATTGCATTAATTTCATAAGTAATGAGCAGGCAGTACTGTATACAACAGTTACCTAAATATTATATTTTTAAGATGTTTTATCATTCTTTCTGTTTTGCTTTATGTGTTTGCATGAAATTTTGCTAATTATTATAGCCTACGTACATAAGAATAGCAATCAATTACTGTACTATTGTATTGCAGTGAGAGTCCTGCACACTCTACATTAATAGCTAAAAATAATAATATTTGAAGATTATACGACATGGACGTATTCGACAAAGTTGCCTTACTTATACTCATTAATTAATTTGTGAGAGAATAACTAACACACCGACGTATTATGCAGATATTCTTTTTATTATAGATTTTCCGTGAAGAAAAAGTAAAATAGCATTTTGCATTTAACACTGGTGAATAGGAACACGTATATTAATTTAGGTAATTAATCTAGGAGCCAAGAAACGCTGAAGATCATATCGGTTTACACAGTGTGCGAAATATCCGTCAATATTAGGGGGGGGGGGTCCCATCTCCCTATTGTTACGCAATACCGATCTTCAGACCCCCTTAAAATTTTGCTTTTGAGGCTTTCAGGGGGTCTCATGGGTTAATCGGTGGTGTCGGACCCCCCCACACGTATTTCGCACACTGGGTTTACAGGAAAAAAAAAACGTTATTGTGGTTTCAACAGTTTTATTCATGTGCATTGATTGATGAGCGGCAAATGCGCGGCAATGCGTCACCTGCGACGTGTGATTTAATGAGGTTCAGGATGGCAACACGAACTCTGTTAAACGCTGATCTAAAGTTTGCTTAGCGAGGGCGAAGTAAGTCCGAAGGGCGCAACATTGGTTGCGTAACATTAAAAAAAATCCTATAAGCGCCTCTGCGAATGTGTTCCAAGCTTTGTGTGCACTGGTGCGTTTTCTAATGGTTGCTGTTTTTGAGCAGTTTAATTGCACGGTTTGATTTAGTGTACGACAGCATGTCAGGGAGAGCAGGGCGAAATTACCGAAGTACCTCATCTAAAGAGTGAGAAAGAGAGGAGGGCACAGACGTCAGCTGGAGTTCCTCCATTTTTAGGGCACTCTTCTCCCATTTGAATCAATTAAAACCCCCAAACAGTTTTATTCCGGTTAACTCCGCTGTCACGCGTGGCGACTGCGATCTAAGTATCTGACGTCCTCCAATTAACACCCTCTAATGAGGCGGAGCTCCGGCGCCCCCCAGGCAAGCGACAATCCGGGGATCTGTGGATGCGGGGAGCCGTGCTAAAAACGCACCGTGTTCGCGTGCGGCGTCTTACAAGCCGAGCAGGACACGAGACAGCTGACTGACGTGCGCGAGTAAGCGCGAGGTGTCGCCCACGTGGGGAGGGTCGCGCAGATGCGCAGCTATGCAGCCGTGATTTTTTTTTTCTGCTCAAGATGAAGCAGGTATTCCGATGTTTTTTTGATGGGGCATTGTGGTGTACATCAAAATATGGAGGTCTTAGATTCAGCGCAATCCTGCAAACCTGCTTAACTTGTAAGCAGGCCTGTGTCCTGAATGTAATGCTGCAGTACGCCCAGCCCATAAAAATCTGTCAGGTACCATGCTGATGTTTGCACCACTCTACACCGGTGAGTCGACTGTGATGCCCCCCGTGCACAGAAGCGAACGTGAGTGACACAGGTCATGGCATTGCATGCCCGTGAAGACAGCTTTCTCCATGTCACTGTGAGCACTGCAGCTAATTCCATGAGTGTTCATCTGGACGAGAGAGGAAGTAGCCTTGCGATGCATGATGACAATGAAGTTACAGCTCTAAAGTCGATTGACATTGGGGCCCCATGCAACCGTTGATGCAAAAACGGTAGCAATCAATTGGCATTTGTGCTAGACTCTGCTGGGTCCTTCTAAGATTCAGGCATGCAAAGATTCACGTGTGGAGAATAGGGGATATGAAGATTAGATCCCCAACTGATTTTTTGTCAGCTTCAATCAGAAATTTCACATCTGAAGTTTTTTTTTGTGACACAGCAGGTCCTTATGTCTTCAGAGCAGGACTGTGATTCCATTCTTGGATCCGAAATGCCAGTTCCCTGTTTAGTCAGGTTACGTTAGACGCTTCGTTTCAAGGGAACCATCACGTGGTCGTCGCTCGAACACCTGACAGATCTGTGAGTCACACTGGCTGGGGTCTGTGGAGGGGAACTGGGCGTCGGCCCAGGGCCAATGGGAGCCAGGAGGTCGGGATTCTGCAAGGCCTGGACTGTGTGTTTTACCAGACACCATAGTATGGTCCAGAGAGTGATCTGCTGGATGGGTGACTCGATTTTACACAGCACCGGCCTGGCCATGCTGGTAGGGGGGTCATGGGTGGTCTTGCCCGTCTGTTTGGAGGACTCAGAGTGGAAGGACTGTAAAAGCGCCATCTCTTTCTTCCTGCCCCCGCTCCTCTGTAAGCCCCATGGGGAGAGGCGTGAGCTGGGAATGCTTCGCCTCCGAAGTGGCTGAGGGGGAGGGGGGGTGAGATTGTTGGCGAGTGCGTGCGAGATGCGCCCATGTGTAAGGATCCCTTGGGCAAATCAATGCTGTGGCACTTTGGCTGACCAGCCCACAGATCCCAGCGTTTCTTATCCATGCCTGATTCCCCCCCCCCCCCACACACACATACTCAGTACCTTGGAGAGTTCTATCAAGAAAACATCCTTCCCCAATCCTGGAGAATATCCCTGGTAATCTGTCCTGCATTACACACGTGATCACATATGCTGGTGCACACACACACACACACACACACACACACACACACATACACACACACACACACACACAGGCCTACACATTTGAAATGGTTTGGTTAAAAAAATAGTAAATAATATAATTAAATATATGTCTATGAGCAATTTTAGCATGGTGACTGTTATTTCTGCATGAGCATGCATGTTCCATGCAACACTCACAGCAAAATGCAGGCGCAGTTGTGATGTCTGTCTGGCAGTCTGCCCCCATCTTGCCCGAAAGCTGCCGCACCTCTCCTGCCTCTTTCGGTGGCCCCCGGCCCCTGGCCCCCTGTGGACTGAGGAAGCCCTGACCTCCCCGAAGTGACACGTGCTGACGGCTCCGGGGTAGGCGGGCCGCCGAAGGTGCAATCTCATGCTGCTTTGCCACGACTCGGATCTCGTAGCCTAACTGAAGTGCGGCGACTCGCGTTCGGGTTCCTGCGCTCTCTAATTACCAATTTCCCAACGACTGCTTATCATATGGTACACCATCGGACCATAGACACGTCAATCCTTTAAATTGTGTGCGCTAAACAGGAATCTGACTTGCAATGTCACAGCATCAGAATGA